AGAGATGAAACTGTCATTTCAGAAAATAAAGGGTTGTCCCACTATATATGACAATATACAATATTGTGGTTGCAATTTATCCTAAACCTATATAACAAAGAACTTATAGTGACCATATCATTGTGACAAATCAAAATGATTTTATTCTTAGAAGAGACATGATTGAATCCTCATACTAGATTATTATTCCTTTTCTGTCAATCTTGAAGAAAAAAGTAAAGCAATTTAAGTGAGAATTTGTGTCCAATGATTTTCTATTCGAAAAGTTAAGATGTTACACAACCTTGATCAAAGTCTGACAATATTATTTTAGATATTTGTATCACTGAACGCCTGACCAGAATAATGAGAGATCATTTGGAAGACAACTCCCTAACCAAGGGCCCATTTTAAAGGACTTCTAGCTTACTATTCTAATTATGGCCATTCATTAGGCTTAAAAATTATAATTGGACAGAAAATGTTATACCAACCTTGCAAATGCACTAGCAAAATGCCTGCAGTCTCCCCTCATTGGGCATGCATTACAGTTTGGTCGCCTCTTTGTACAGAATACCTATATGTTTTTGGAGCACAATTCATCACCATTCGTGTCTTTTAGAGATAAGTCAAATGAGAAATATATGATATAGTTAATATCCCCAAGAAATGTGATAGCATACCTTTCCAAATGTAATCATCTGATAATGTAGTTCATACCTGTTAAGGGACATATGTAGTAAATTAGTAAAAGCATTGCAATCAATTCCATAGCAATAACTATGCTCACTTAAGTTGAGGGGAACAAGAAATTACAATGTTCGTTGATCAAGGGTGCAGAGGCGTGGCCACAGGTATTTCTGAATGGTATCCACCAATGGGTACCTGAAGGGCAACAACATCAGGAAATCTTTTTTTTTTTTGATTGGAAACCTAGGTGTTTTTGATCAGTGGACATATGATACTTACTGGTCTAGCAGATGTATTGCAACTGCATCAGGAAGTGGTTGCAGGGGAACCCAACCTAGACGCACTGCTACCCGACCGACATTTGTGTCAACCTTATGGAAGCAACAAAAATGGATTGTTGAGAAAATAATTAAACTCTATAAAGTTAAGATAATGAATTATAGATACTTCCAATCTTAACTTACTGGGAAGGCATGATGATGAAGTGTCAGAAGACGTATACACTCGACACTCTTCAACCCCAGTCCTCGTATGCTTAACAAGTACTCCCTACAAGCATAAAAGATCAGAAACCAAATTTTCTTTAGTTGGTGATCAACACTTGCAACTGCTGGTCAAACTATTCATGTTGTCTTACTTTGCTTTGTCTGGTGGAACATCTCGCAGCCACTCAAGATCAATTTTTCCATGATCTTTGACCATTCGATCAAGGAACTCCTGCAAAATTTCAAAGGTGCCTAGTAGTTAGAAATTGATTTTACTACTTTTGACTATCTCTCAAAATTGTTGTTTTCGTGTGTACCTTTATTCTTGCTGCAAGTATGTTGTTCATTCCTCTTTCCATTATAGTCTTGGAAACCACTTCAACTGATGCACCCCTAACTCTCTCCCAATCTATGGAATCGTTGTTTTTATCCATAGGTTTTCTAGTTCTATCCTTGGAATAAATTTTCCTTAAATTATCCCAGTTAATTGTATTTTCTTGCTTTTCCTCAAACTTGCTTTTCTTTTTTTTGGAGGTAATTTCAGTTTTGGATATCATTTTATTTTGGGTAGGGTGATTGTTGCTCGAAAGTGGGGTTTTTCTAGTCATGACTTCTGTATGTAAGCTGCAATTGGTGGACAATTGGAACTTGCTTAATGTTGCATATGGGTCAACTGTTGTTGGTTCTTGAGCTATGGGTGTGGTCTTTTGCTGAATTATAGTTTCACTTCCAGGGAGCTCTGTATGTCCATGATGTTTGCTTATCTCCCCTCCTTCCTTTTTTTGATTAAATCCGAACTCTCCCACCAAGTCTAAAGAATCCAAATCTAGATTAGAAGGGGCATATGGAATTTTAGGACAGAACTCATGGCAACTAGACAAAATGAGGGATGGATGTGTACCTTCAAGGTCAGTTATATCTGAGATTGGCATTCCTACCCCAGTGGAAGTCTCTTCTCTGTTCTGAACAAAATCATGACTCATATCTTTTACACTGTCACAGGCAAATGGGTGCTTGCCATTTTCATAATATGTTGACTCATCTGTCACTATATTACTTCCAACTGATTCTTGGCTATGTAAGATTTCTTCCTCAGTGGCGCATTCTCCATTGTTGCTTGTAGGATGAAGGGAAATCGCGCCGCAAGGGACATGAAGACAGAACTGTGAAAATCATTGAAAGCATTCTCAGTTTACATTCTGTGGAGAAAAAGAGATGCTATATATTTACTTAGAAGACCCAGTTTACCTTGAAAGATGGTCAGACACGTTCTGAGTTAGAAAAACCCCAACCACAGAGTCTACCACCGAACCTTTCCAAGGTGAGAAACGTCTATTTCCTGTGAAGTTTGTCCCTCTGCAATTAGTAACTTGCATGCAACTATAATATGTACAATGAGAAGTGTGCTTTACCAATTTAAGGATAAGAAGAAGTCTAGTATTAAAGTTATGGTTCAACAAATCTGATAAGCTGATGGAATAATGACTACAATTAGGGAAAAGACTATGATGTTTAAATATACACTGACAGCAGGAAATAATAACAGTAGTGTTTATGTCTTTGTTGAATGGTGTGACTGGATATTCAACAAACACTGAAATGTTACGCATTTTTTTATCATATAATTTTGTATGCTATACATCATGGTAAATGATACCATGCTTAATATGACAATGGAAGTATAAATACTAAAAGTGATCCCTCTCTAATGTTTGAATTTCGCCGCCACCCCAATGATTAAAAGATTTTCACGTGTTATACTCAAACTCTAGCTTGCACGGAAGGGGCCGTGTTGAGGTATAACTATTAAAGTTAACACCCTCTCTAACAATTTTAACTTTTGGAGTATATGATTGTTCAATAGGCAACTAGAACCAATGTAGTCATGGTAAAATGTGTTGATGGTGTTCCATTTTCAAAGATTGTCTCATGGTGAATAAGAGGAGTTGTAACTTCAAATGCAAATTGCAATAGAGTTATACCTTGGATAAGATGCATACGGGCAATAAATGAGTCCACCCGTCCACTGAATATTTCTCTCTGTTCTTCCCACCATTTTTCCTTATCTTCGTTCGCTTCTTCAATAATTTCACTTTCATCATTCTCCATCAGCATTTTCCACACTCGCATAGTCTCAGAATCAAGATCAACCTTGGGTGGTGATTTATGCTTCTTGGATGGATCAAATTGCCCCTTGTAAGGAATTAGTGCGCCATGGGTATTTTGCACAGGGACGCCATAATCGTCACTGATGTGTAGACACTCTAGTTTCTTGATGGAATAGTCGAGCAATGCTGTTACAAATGCGTCATGTGGCCCTGCATCAATTTGACATTAGAAGAAGCTATTAGTGCCTCCATGATAGCGACTATCAGAATTAATATATAGGAGCAAAAAACTTTATTTACTCTCTGCATTGAGCTGCACATCCATGCATTGTGGCAGACAGGCTTCAACATTTGGGGGCCATCTTCTACCTCAAGCACCATATCCTCACATTTTTGGGGGCAACTTTCATTATGGTAAAATACTGAATTATCACCAATGGGATGCATTTTATCTTGTATCTTGTTTTCTGCAACCAGAACTTCCATGGAAGCTAAGTTACAACTTGCAATTGCTGAACCCATGTTGTGCCTTCCAGTAAATCTCTTGGATGTCTTCCTTCTAAATGTTTCAACTGGGTGCAAGGTCAGAGCACACTTGAGCAATTCTGCTTCATCAATTGCTGCCTTGGTTTGTTCTTCTGTGGCTGAATTTGCCACTGGGGAAACGAAGTTGCGTCTTTGACGAAGCCCCTTGGATCTCTTCCTTTTAACTTTTACCAGGGGGGACAAGCCCAGGAGCAAACCCTTAAAAGATTCTGGATCTTCAACTGCTGCCGTTGTTTGGGTCAATTGCTGAGACAATCCTTTCTTACTGATTCTCTTGCTGATTCTTGATGTACTAAGGCTGACAGTCACTTTTTTCCTCTTTTGTGCTTTCACCTCTCTCTGACCATCATCTGCAGCTATAATAGACCAGAAAGCATTTGGTATGGTTGCCTTTCGCCGCCTCGTCCTTATTTTCTTGTATTTTCTTGGAAAATTTGGTCCAAGTTTCCTGCTATATTTTAGACATTGATCTCGCTGGGATCTTCTTTGATACACATGCAAGGAATTGTACTTGCAACCAGTTTGAGTAGTGCTAGTAGCACAGAGATCCTTCTGGTGAGTTGCACCCACTCTTTCTGCCAGTGACTTGTCTGTCTGTGAGCAACTCTCAGCATGGGTATTACCATATGCTATGCCTGCCAGGTTTCCAGCCATCTGCTTGTTGCCCTTCTTGGACTTCACATTGTTGATATCATTGCCAACCTCCTGAGATTCCAAATTTTGGTTGAAGTCTAAGTTGCACAAGGATTTGTCTACACTCTTACTTCTACGTTGATATTGATGAACAATTTTTCTGGCATCTTTTTCATCACAACCATGCTTTTCCAAGTTGACATTCAGAGTTTGCCAATATAACTTTTCAGCATGTACAGGATTTTGAACAACTACTTTCCCATCAATGCATGATTTTTCCAAATTACAACTCTGAGCCTGCAAGCATGGTTTTTCTCTGTCTTCAGGATTTTGATCAACTATTTGACTAACATCTTCAGAGGGCTTTGTTGAGGCTTTAAGGCAATTTTTTGATATGCAATTTTGTTTCTCATTTGGACTTATGTTTAAATTTACAATTTCCCTAACATCATCATCATCTCTCACCTGGTTTTCCAAGTTAAAATTCAAAGCTCGCCTGCATGATATTGTAGAATATTGAGGATTCATATCAAATGCTTGCTCATCAGCATCTTCTGAAGTATTGGCCAAGACTTTGTGGCTATTCTTCCTCATGTATTTCTTCTTATGTGGACTTCTCTTGGAAATAGCATGCATTAGAGTTGAAGGCTTTGGAGTCTGAAGTTTCGGAGTAGAAGGCTTCGGAGTTCGTGGTTTTGGAGTTAGAGGTTTTGGAGTTTGAGGTTTTCGAGATGAAGGCTTGACAGTCTGAGGCTTTAAAGTCGAAAGCTTTGATGGACAAGATTTTGGATTTTTTATGGGTTGGCCTTCGACTACTACTTTTGGTCTATGTTTTCTCACGCTGGGTCTTTGTCGTGGCTTCTTGTTCAAGTCTATGCCACTGTTCTGTCTCTTTCTTGCATTTTGCTTCTCTGATGGAGTTAATACTGTGAAAGAAGATGATTCAATGTTGTCCTGTGAGTTTTCATTAACATGGAGCTTGTTGCTTTCATTCCCTGAGCAAGGTGCTTCATTCTTCTCTCTTTGTTGATGCACAATCTCATCTACACAAACATTTGGAATATGTAAGATGACATATCTATTTTATTTTGCTCAAGAACTTGACAACAGTACCATTTGAAAATACACAGCTATACCTGTCACTGATTCAGAGATATTATTCGAGTCCAGATTTTTATCAAGCATCTCAACCAGTTGTCAATCAGTGAGAACAAATGTGGCATGGTGTGGTGCAAGTACGCAATAACTAATAGCACTTGTCATTAGTTAGAAACAGATCAAAATTATCAATCTTAGATTAAAGCATGATGTTTTTTATTTGAATTATCTACCAGTTTTCATCAACAAGAATGCATGTACACATACATTCATCTTTTTGTGGAAATATGTTCAGGCTTATACATATACACCATCATAGCTCTGAGGGCGGATTTAAGATGCTTGGGTTGCTTCGGACTGGTAAGTTTGAGAGTTTGCAATGGAAAATAAAGTACCTGTCTTTCCCAAAGTTCTGGGTGTGTTGATGCTGCTCTCAGTTTCAAAATCCGAAGCAGGACACGGAAGACTTGACATTCCATCAACCACAACCTCTGATGTTGAAATTTCAGATGTTTCAGAGGCTAAAGAACTTTTATCAGGCAAAACCAAAACCTCTACGAAGCTAGTATTGTCCATACCTGCCAGTTTCGCACCACACTCATCAAAACCACAGCTCAAACTCCCTGAAACGGTGAAACAACTCTTCTCAACCACATCAGCAGTACTCTCTCCACATTTCACCCCCTCCAAAACTCCAGAACTGCTGCAATAACCCACACAGGTGTATGTTTCATTACGATTATCTGTTCTTTGGTTCCCAACTAATACATCGTCTACATTATAATTTCTTTTATTCCAATCTATAAAATCTGATTTGGCAGCCGCTTTTCTCGTAGCCAACACCGCCTCCTCCCAGTTGTATAAACCTTTGTTCTTATCTGTGGCAATTGTGGCATTAATATTCCCAGCCTCTTGCAATCTGCTTGGTGAACCACTTTGAACCAAAAATCCCCTGTTGCCGGACTCCAACCCGGGCCTCACCTCAACAGGTTTTACGGGAGTTGATGGCACCCAAACACCCTCTTTCTGCAACTCTTTCTCGACTGCATTGCCAAATTCCATTGCTTTTGCTTCCTATTAGAAACTTGAAGCCCAAAAAAGTGTCAACTATCCCAAAGATGCATATTAAACACAAGACAAAGCAAAGCAAAGTAAAACCAAGACTCTATGTAGAAGATTGCGAAGAGAAAACTAATTTTCAATAACTGAACAGAAGCAAAAAGGTTCTACTGAGTCTTTTTTAGCACCAAAAAAAGAGAATGCCGCCAAGGAAGTTATCAACTACTGCAGGAAATCAAAACATCACAACACTACAAGATTTCCAAAATTGATTAGTTAGCATACCAAAATGGATTGAAGTTATCTATATAAAAACATACCAAAAGTAATTAAGAACTGTCATTATCAAGTTTACCCTTTTAATTAAGATTACAAATCATGACACTATCTAAATCGAGTTCGCGTCGCTTATTTTGTGGATGATTACCTATATTCAATATTACAATCATGAGTTAAAAAAAAAAAGGTGTTTGATGTTAAAATAATTACAGCAGTTAATATGGGTGTTTAATTGGGTCTCTATGTAAAAAAGGGAGCGGATCCTCTGTTGTTCCACAAGACGGTAACGTTTTGTGAGCTATGACACCAGCAATTGTAATCCCTTTTCCCACCGGTCAAAATTGGAAGTTTTTCAAATAAAAACATTGCATTGGAAAAACATATAATTAAAGTTTATATTCTTGATCCAAAAAAAAAAAGTTTATATTCTATTATGATATTCAAAGTTTATTTTTAGAATTAATTTTAGAATTAATTAGAGTACTAAAAAAATATTTTTTTGATACAATATTTTAGATTCTCTAATGAAAAAATGTGATGCATTCAAAATTTTCCTATTTTATCACAAAATACAGAACAATGACAAAATATGGTATCATACTTTACTTTGTTATCCGATAAAAATGTGATACATGTAAAAATTTTATATTTTTTTTGCAATTCACATTTGAATTCATTAACATAAAAAAAATTATATTTGAATTCGTTAAAATAAAAAATTCAAATTTTAATCTGTTAAAATAAAAAATTCAATCTAATCTGAATAACTTTGAAATAAAGTTTTAACAAATTACATCATAATTTTGACACAATCTCATCAAATAATTATTTTATTTTATATATATAATTCAGGTTGGATAACAATCCTAATAAAAATTAGATATATCCAATATCCAAAATTGTAAACTAAAATATAATCGATTAATGTTCAGAATCAAATTTGAAATATAATAAATTTAATTTTCGTTTGGCAAATTTACTCGGATCAGTTCGATTTTTTTTTATTTTTAATGGATTCAAATATGTGTTGTAAAAATAAAATATAAATATTGTACATATCCCACATTTTTATTGGATGAAAAGTTAAAATATGATACGATATTTTGTCATAGTTCTGCATTGTGTCATATAATATGAAAATTTTGAACGCGTCACATTTTTTTCATTAGAAAAGCTAAAATATTGTACCAAAAAATTTATTTTTTGGTAATCTAATTAATTCCAAAAAATATTTAATTGAATATAAACTTTAATCTGTTTTTCAAATGCAAAGCTTTTACTTGAAAAACTTATAATTTTGACCAATAGGCAGGTGATTACAATTGCTATTTGCTGGTATTCATAAGATGTTGTGGTCTTGTGGAACTGCACAACGTGCTGTTCGTTTGAACAGCAGAGGATCCGCACCCATGTAAAAAAACCAAGTGGAATATATTTGAGCCAGAGAAAAAGTTGAAAGGGGGAAACAAACCCTACTCCCCACCATTATTTAATACTCTTTCAGTCGAAATTTTAAAATCAATCTCTAAAATCGTTGAAATTTTTTCTGGGTTTACTGTTTTTTCAGAATCAGCAGTAAAAATAGTGAAAAATCAAAAGGGTAAAAGCAACACAAAAACCCGTACACAATCTTCCTCAGCTTTCGGTTACATGTTGTGGCAGGATATAAATTATGTATATATATATATATATATAGTGTGTGTGTGTGTGTGAGAGAGAGAGAGAGAGAGAGAGAGAGAGAGAGATTATGAGCAGTAAAGAAAACAATGTACCTTGTAAAGTAAGAGCTTCTTGTGAGTAAAAGATGGGAGTTAAAAGGAGAATGCAGGTACAGTAAGGAGTGGCAATGGGCGTCAGTTTTGGTTGCCGGTGAGGAGAAGAAGGAAATTGAAGGAGTATTGTTTGTGGGGGTTGTTTTGTTCATACAGAATTTCAGAAGCAGAGTAAGATTAGTAGAATAGAGTGTTTGATTTGGACTCTCCTACAAACCCTTATATATGTTGCGCTGAAGGATAGAGGAGGGACCAACAAAATAGTGTTCGAGCCATGTCATGTTACATCGGTTATGGTAGTTTGAATTTAGGGCAAATTACATCCACTTCCCTTGAGGTTTGTCCAAATAACAACGAGAACGAGACCCCCCTAAGGCATGGATAATAACTCTACGCTTCCTGTCAGTGACTTCCATCCTTTCTGCGTAACGGAAACTTTAAATGACTGCAATACCCTCTATGTCAACTCTGAATGACCTTAATACCCTCTTAATAAAATTCCTAATTAATTTTGGATTAATTTTAGAAAAATATTTTGTTACAAATTTTTTTTATTTTGTTACAAAATTTTTTTTATTTTGTGACCATCTTCTTCCCACGAGCCATCCACATGGCTCTGCACACACCACACCGTCCCACCACCCCACCTCCACCTCCACCATCAACCCCAAATATCGCAACCCACCGCTATCACCAATCCCCACACATCACAAACCCTTACCACTATCACCACCACCACAACCCATAATCAAGAACACACTACCACCCAAATCAACCATCACTGCAGCACTCTAAAGAAACCACAGCACCCAAGCTACTGTCTCACCTATCCTTATAACCACCATCGCACCACTGCAATGCACACAGAGAGAAAAAGGTGAAGGTATACACATGTAGAAGGCCTACCACCACCACCACCACCACCACCACCAATGGCTCCAAAACCATAGCCATTGGTGCACCACCATACACCCAAAACTACAAAATCCTACCCTAAAATTAGGACCACCACTAAAAATACTACCCCAAAAAGACCCTAATTCTTCAAACAAAACATTTTCAAACTTTGCATTGGTGCTTCTGGTTCATGGGTCTGCGTTCTATGAGGTGGGTTCCAAAGGGGGGTCTAGGAAGGGATTAGAGGCGGGGCCGCGGTGTTCTACATGTGTATGGGGTTCCGGCGGTAGTGGGTTTTTGGGGCTCCAACGGGGGTATGGGTTGGTGGGTGATCCGGTCAAATGTGGGGGTGGCGTGTGGTTTGGTTTGACTGTGTTTCGTTGAGAGAGAGAGAAAATTTAGACTAGAATGATAACAGGTGAGATTTGGAACTGGATTATACAAGGATAATATTGGTATTTTTGAAATTTTAATTGCTTACATCATTAAATTCTTGACTTTTTCTAACGGCCTACTAATGGTGGGCGAATCTGTTATAGAGAACCAAAGCAAAGGGGAGGACAGTGTTATTATCCATACCTGAGGGAGTCTTGTTGTTATTTGGAAAAACCTCAAGGGAAGTGGATGTAATTTACCGTTAAATTTATGTCGAGTATTAATTAATTATAAATCAATCTATGTAATTAATTATGTTAGGTGTCTTTAAAACTCGATATATTTATTACTTTTGTCGAATTCTACGTGTAACTTGTGACCAAAAAATTCTACACTAGAAGCTTATTTTTAACAACTAAATCGACTACATATCAATTGATCTTTAAAATTTCTTTTTTTTCGATTGTTTTAATTAATTTTTATATTTAAAATTGTACTTATATTTTGAAATTAAATGTTATAGGTTATATTTTGAATTAAAGTAGTTCGGTTGATTCAACTTAAACAAGTTGCTCGCTGTAGAATAAATTTTTGTTATCTAGGTTTGTTTTAATAGGCTTGTTTGAAATATTCAATTTTTCCTATTAAATTAGCTATGATTATTTTTAATATTCATGGTCCTTGTAAGTTATTTTTTAAAAAAAGGACAAATTTATTAATTTTAGCATTTTTATTTTATGTTATTACTAAGTGCTAATTTGCCCTAACAATAAAATTTTTTTGGCTCAGCCCTTAGTCATGTAAGCTTGACATTGTGTGAGACCATTGGGGAGTTTGATATGAAATTGAAACAAAATTAATATTGTTGGTGTATTTTAAAATTAATTTTGATAGTGATTTTCGAGATAAGAAAAGTCATATGTATCAAAATATACAGTAATGTTATACTGATCAAATTTTTAAATTAAATTAAAAACTCAGATGATACGACAAGTGACTTGAACTTATTTATTTAGCACCATAAGATTTGAAACAAAATAAAAATTTTAAATAATGTGTTGCCATCTCATTTAAATTTTTAATTTGAGACAAATGACAATCGAATGACTCCAAAGGAATTTTTGAGACAATCGAGAAACGTCAAAGTCATTTTTTTGATATGGGACACTTTATTGGCCAGATTTATGCATATTTCACTGCGACATCAATAAAACAAAATTTCAGTACGGTCCCTTTAAAATTTATTGCTTCAATTGTATTTTTATAATTTTATGAGTTATTTTATAATCAAAAAATTTATTATTATTGTGAATGATTTATTAATTTTGTGGATATTTTTATCACTATTGTGGTAATTATTTTTATAATTTTTTTGGTATAAAAAAATATCATTTTTATAAGTAATTTATTATATTTGTGGGTATTTTTATTACTGTTGTAGTAACTATTTTTTTTCATTTTTTTGGTATAAAAAAATACCATTTTGGTGGGTGATTTATCATATTTGTGAGTGTTTGGACCACTATTATAGTAATTAGTATTTTTTATCATTTTTTTGGTACCATAATAATGATAAAAACACCTACAATAATGATAAAAATATCTACAAATTTTTACAACTATAAAATATCAAGAAAAGTGAAAAAATTTTATTTGACTACTTTGGCATTGAACAATCTTATAAAGTCCATCATATCATTCATCTCTTTTCATTTTCTCTATTTAATTACATAATGCTCTCAAATCCTTCCATCTTCTTAAATTAATTATTTGCATAAAGTTAACATTTAATTATTTTCATTATAGTTTTAATTATTAATTTTAAATTTAAATTCCATATTTTTCCTTAACCAATCTTAATATTTGTACTACTAATATATTCCATACTACAAATAAAAATATTAGTTTCCTAATTTTTCCCCTAAAAATTTTATAAAGTTTATTTTGTAAGTTTTTTAAACTTGTAATAATTATTTATAATACGATAAAATATTAGCTATAACAAAAAAAATTTGAATTCTTATTATATCATATCACATTCTATTCTGTAACTGTTAGACTCTTCTCCTTCTAAGAATACACATTCAATTGCTCTTAACTCACAGAACTTTAAAATCTACCTACATTTAATACATAACTTTTACATGATACAAATTCTTGACAATCAATATGCCAATCGGCCATTAGAATTTCAATCATTTCATATTCTCTCTTCTTGGCTTCATTCACAACACAACACAACACAACAGAGTCTATTCATTGGATTTATTCAATATGCAATGAATGTTATTAATTAATTGGAAGTTGGATCATTCCATGCTCACTTATACTCCACCAATGATGCTAGCATAGTTTATCTTGTAGTTTATTCATCTGGTGGTGGGTGTATGCTCTCCTTTATGTGGTGTGAGTATTGCTCACGAGACTATCATTGGCCTCTTGGAAAAAAATTTTGTTGTTATGTCAGATGCACTCAAGTTCGATGACGGAGGTAAATCATAAATGTGGTGCTTCTTAATTTGTTAAACAGTGTGTTCATTTGCAGAAGAGAAGTTTGGAATTAGTGTCTTCAAATTGATTTTCTGAAATTGATATCCTCCCTATCATGTGCATTACATAAATTTGGTGCATTCAATTTCGTTTGTATTAGGTTAATCTTTTATGTAGTATTGAAACTCATTTCGCACCTTAGCCTTATATCCCATGAGCAGAAAGCTTTACATAGGTCTTCATGATGATATTGGATGGTTGCAAAGAGATCCTCAAATGGTTCATATGGAGGATGGTTCAACTAGTTAGATCTGTAATTTCTATAAGGGATAAGGCACGAACTCTTAATTTTGATAATATTTAGTTTACCATTTGAATAGGGTGACAAAATCTTAATTTGTTTGTAATAGATATTCTATGGGTCATTTATTCTATGGGATTTTCATAAAGCAAATATGAGGGTTCTCTTCAAGTTTAGTACAATATTTGTCTTTGGTTAATTAAATAAGAAAATTGCAAAAAATGAAGCTCTTGGTGATGGTCACTGCTATTGTTTTTTATCATCAGAAATGTTGTTTAATGACTGTTAAGGTGATTTGTTCCAGCTTATCTTGAAACGAGTGTTCGCTTCACTGTTATTCTTAAATGATGATGAACAATTATTAGTTGTTAATGTTACTCAGTTGCATTTTGAATGAGCCATACTATACAACTTATAAATAAATGTTGGATTTGTATGAGATTAGTTAATTTTCTTCTATAATTTTATGTGCATTTGACACAAGTTGAGCTCATTACTTTATTTGGCCAGCATAAGAACCCATGCATTTGTCATTGCAATCATCAAGATGAGTCTTGATATATATTTTTTTGTGTCCTTGGCAAATCAAATAAACGATTATGGGTTCCAAATATTATAAGGAGGCTTCCTACTGAACTACAAATTTCATGCATAGCACCAAAAAAGAAGTTTGGTGTTTCATTCTCAATTATCACTTTATAAGGTAGCTATTGTCAAGGATCTCACGTAAGATCATTCTTTTAAACAATATTACAAGGATCTCACGTAAGATCATTCTTTTAAACAATATTACAAGTCAAAGAACTCATAAATGAATATTAAAAGATAAATTGGTATTCAACAAAGCAATTAGAATCACATAATTCAATCGCTAAAACTCCAAGAAAAAATTTAAACTAATAGTACCTACAAAAACATTGTTGACTATATTAGTATAGAAAATCATATCCCAACAAAAAAAATTATAATTATAATTCAAAATTATTCATATACAACGCATATGTGCATCAATTAGTATGTTAAATAAATGTATTCTATTAATTTTTTTCCCCGGTACCATAAACAACTCCATGGATATGCAGATCAAGTTCATCATATTTTTGTTTCAGAGCTTCGTAGATTTGGTAATTGTGTGGTGTGTTTGTTTGACAAATTTGTTTGTTCATGCATAGATTGTGTTTAAGATGAAGAAAGCCAGAGAGAAGGTTTGTCAAACGTGTTGTACGAGGCAGGTTTGTATTAGGTATGAGCAGATTTGTGTTAAAAAAAATACATTTTTCATACTCGATTCGTTTATTAATTCTTGATTAACGAATTGTGTCATATCGAGTTCGTGTCGTAAATGAATTATGTATAATCGATATATAAACGAGTCATGTCGTGTTTTTTTTTAAATTGACGTCACTCATACCCGATTCATTTACTAATCGTGTCTTATTTACTCCACTCATCTGTGAAATAAGTGGCTTATGGAAGATTCAAATTCTATGATTTCATGTCGTATTAACAGATTGAGTCATATTTTGACACGAGAGAGAAATAGAGGTGTGTGCGTTTGTTATTTACTCTCCAAGTTGTTGAATCTGGTACTTAATCAATGAAAAATTTACCATTTCTTAACAAAAAAAAATTATAAAAAATAAGGGTTAAATGCAAACCCCCATCCTCGGGTATTTATTTATTTATATTTTTTTTTGGGGAGGTGAAAGGGAAAGAGACTTAAACTCTTGACTTCAAGAAAGTAAAACTTTCATAATATAAGGAGTACTATTAGATCAAATGTTCATTGGTTCCTCGGATATTTAAAGTCTGTTGTAGACCACTTTTTCGTAGTTTTGACTTTTGTATTAAACCTCCCAAAAATTACGATCAAAGTGCAATTATAATATAAATCGTCTCTATTAACAAAGAGTAAGAAAAAGGTGGTTGAAGGCATGCCTAGGTCGCTTGATAATCATTTAGTAATTCTAATGGAATATGAAGGTAATGCACAAACGTTAAAGGTGCAATTCAGTCGATGCCCATTCTGGATTCAAGTGTATAATCAGTTGTTTAATAGTATGAATCAGGCCACCGACAAGATTATTGGGTTCGCATGGGTACACATGTTCAAACTAATTTGAACCATGAAGGGCATTGGTTGGGGAAGATTTTTACGAATTGGAATCGAACTACTTATTACTAAGACTTTACTTTGGGGCAAAAGGCCAACCCTATACAATTTTCTTCGAGTATGACCGATTGCCAAATATTTGTTATCATTCTGGCTATTTTGGATATACAGAAATTGGATTGCAATGTGAGATTGAAATCATTAAATCCATCTAATTAGGAAACATCACAATGCAATAATAGGCTAAGAGCTGTTAGGGAGAAGGTCAAGAAAAATCCTTCATTCTATAAGGCAAAATTGGGAGTCAGTCTCGTTGGTAATGATGTTAATAAGGTGGCTGATGTTGATGGAGGAGCGCCAAAGAAGGAACTCTCCGCATCTCTAGAGGAAGTAGTTGACGAGTAGTCAAACACAGGGCAGATTTAGAGTAGAGTTGTCGACGGATCGGATATTGATCTATTTAAATTTGAATTCGATAAAAAAATTTGAGTTCCAAATCCAATCCGTTTACCCAACGAATTTCAAAATATTAATCTATATTCACATCCATTAATAATCAAATATTTGATCCGGTCTGAAAATTTGAATCTTAATAAAATTTCATAAAAAATTAATAATTTTATCAAATTTAAGTTAACTTTCAACCTAATTTAATCAATCAATCATTCTATTCAATAATTTTTATTTAATTTCACATCAATCTCATTAATAATCTAACTAAGTATATGTATATATAATAATTTCTTTCAATTAAATATTTATGTGTGTGTGTGTGTATATGTATATATATATATACTAGTTGGTGCACACATGCGTTGCATGTGGGCCATTTTAAATATCAAATAACATATATTACTGGAGCAAAGATTATGTAATATTTATATTATTCAAATCATCATAAAACATGAATGCAAAAAATTGTAATTCTAGTGTTATAGATGACCGAAAGAAAATATACATTTCAAAAATATTATAATTATTTACACACTATTTTACGTTATGGATGTGAACATGCTTAAGAAAATCATTTTAATTCTTCAAAACCATGAAAACATGCAACATGCCTTTGTCGTTATGAGATATTACAATATCTCATGACACATTCAGTATCACATTATTTTTCTTCTACACATATGCAATAAAATAAATTTGTAGATCCTAAACTACGGATACATGTGCATACTGAAATTATTGAAACTAACAATGTTGCCTAACCAAATGGAGGCCAGGAAGAAATTAATCAAGATCATATGCATGATCACTATCAAAATATAATATCTACATCATGATTTCTTTATCCTTGACTTGTTAATTTATTTCATCTAGAAAAAATTTATTCAACTTGAAATTATCAAACCAATGTGATTGTATAAGAGTCGATGAATCAAATTTTCACAAACAATTGCAATAGGAATTTGTCGTGTCACTTCTTTTACACTCCTTAACTGTACAAATTCTATAATTTAGTGAATCTTTAAATTGGAAAGAAGCTAGAATTAAATTAAGAAAAAATAGATGCAGCCCATATGTCTAAGTAGTTTACGACATCTGACAAAAAAAAACATTACATGCACAATAAATCAGAATGATAAGACTAGAACCTATTTAATCCAAAGTACCAAAAATTATTGTATGTACACAATGAGGAAAACCCAAAAAAAACCCAAATAAGAAACAGAGAAAGAGGGACAAACAACAAAAACTAATGAAATCGAAAAAAACATGGGAACTGAGACATTGAACCAAAAACAAAGGTACCAACCCAAGCGACACGAGAAACATATACATGCCTAAATCCAAACACCATCACCAACAAAAACACACCCTTGTTTGAGATCCAATGTCTTTAGGTTTAAATTATAACCACTATAACCTTTGTATACTGAGGAAAAGAAAAAACTAAAATAAAAATACAAAATCAATCAGTGAAAATTATCAAACCTATAACAATTCAAAAATCTAATTTGATAATTCATTAAAATGATAGTTGTTGTTTTTGTCCGCAGTTGCAAAAGAGAAGACGAAGCTGATGGGTATTTGTTGGTGATGAAAATATCTGATAGATATTTTTAGTGACCTCTTAGCCCTTTTTAACTTCAATCCAGAGAAAGCTTTGATAATGGCCAAATAACTTCCACCCATTTTTTTTTTTTTTGTAATGGAGTTACGAAACTCCAAGAGTTTTAATAACTATTAGGTTTCCACAATTCAAGTGATGCTGTAATATAACTCAAGCAAGTAACTTAATTAGGTTGATGAACAATAGTTGCTAATAGCTTAATAAAAAATTAGTGCAGTGGATAAATTAGCTAATTAATTATGATAATTAATCTAGTACTAATTTAACTTTGTACAATTGTTTGAGGGTAATGATGGCAAATTTTTTTTTTTGATTTAATAGCCAGTAGTATAGATACAAATATAGATATAAATATATAGTATAGATATAGATATATAGTATAGATAGAGAGATATATAGAGGAAGATGAACAATCTTTTAGGAGTTGTGTCCCTCCCTCTCTCTTGTTTCATAAACTAATAATTTAATAGAGAAACTAGAACATGAGGAATATATAATAAATTATATTAATATAATAAATTATATTAATATAATAAATAAAAGGTGTATTGTGTTGTCTTTATAATATATTTATTTATGGTAGTTTAGATAATTAAGAAATGTTAGAGCGTAAAAGAGGAAAATGAAAGTTTTTCAAAGATACATACTTTTTAAAGTAGTATATATATATCATATCAAAAAAAATTCAGATCAAATTTATATGTATTCAAATCTATATATGTTTTAATAAACTTAATTGGTTTTAGATAAACAAATTAAAATATTAATCCTTATCTGATTAAATGGACTCAGATTCGGATAAAAATTTGTTTTATTGACAGGCCAAATTGGGAGTGTTCCCATGGATTTAGGTAATTTCAAAATTCAGAACATGGGAGAAAAGAGTAGCTATGGAAGGCAAAAATGTAGGGTTCCATTCGATTTTTTTGGAAAACTCTACAATAGTTAATTTTTTACTATGAATTTGAAAATAACACAATGTATTAATGAGTAATAATGAACTACTAGTAATTATTCGTGCCTGAAGGCACTATGTAACTCGTAAAACGATTGTAAATGTTTGTCCATGCAAAGGCAATATAAAACCCAAAATTTTGATAAGCGTCAATCAATATGAGTCCACTAATATTTTTAAATTATTCTCACAAAATTTGTTCAAAAACCATGATTTTTTGAAAAATATCAACCTATATATTCAAACTTATATAATCCCAAGGACATAAATTTCATTTCGAAATGTCAGAAATGTTTTTCATTTTCATGAAAATAGAAATGAATCATTGATTGAATATCAAAATTCTTAAATTTTGAGTATTTCAATCTATGTTTCAGTTGTTTCAACCAATTTTTCAGAAATAAAATTTTAAATTTTTTCTTTTTTTCCATCTTGTTTCTGAAACAATACTGAAAAGTTTTCATTTCTAAGCTCACCAAAACATTACAATGAAACGAAATTTTGATCATTGCATAATCCTATCATTATCTATACTACTAATAAAAGAAAACTGAATGAAAAACTTTTGATTAACTATAATATCCTTTATAAAACATATAATTCTCTTGAACAATTTTATTTCATTTTCTCTAATTAATTACATACTCCTCTCCTATTCTTTTATCTCCTTTAATTAGTTATGTACATATATTTATTATTTCATGTATTCATTTCAACTTTAATTATTATTTTTAACTCTAATGATATTCATACCATTATGAGTAATAATAAAACAATATACTACTACCTTTTTGTTTCCCCACATAATGGACTTGGCAACTTTTTGTCATCTAATTCTAACAACATGAATTTATTTGAGATTTTAATGTTTGTAGGCCAAAAGTTTCTTATGACTATAAGAAAGCTTGAAAATTTTCTTTTTCGTTGATGGACTTGAAAAATCAAGAGTTTATGCTAACTACAAAAAATTTATAACTTTTTCTTGTCTTTCCTATTGGGTTTCAATGATTGGTGTAAAAATTTTCTTGCTTGATGTACTTATTTGACGTGAAAGTGCCCTTTCTATATCGTAGAACTCGATTCCTGGGTAACACCTTTACCCCTATTTATATGTATAGGGGCTTGCGATTTTCCCAAAAATAAAAAGAGCTTGTGGGCTTGTCCTTGTATGCCAATGGTCTTGATCATAAATTTTTGTGCACGGGCATAATGATGTAAGAACTTATACTTGTTTAGTTTTTTGGCCATTTGATTGAATGTTAGTTGGACAATTACTTTCAACTTCAAGTTTTCATTATTTTTTTCCTACTATATATTAGAAAATATATTTTAAGAAGTCTGCAAAAGCATTCAATAAGAAGTAGCCTTTTTTTTTGGTCAAGAACAACAAGTAACTAAAGAAGTAAGATTGTGTGATCACCTTTTCAGGTGAGCATGCCATGCATCTGACACAACCGCGTGTTAAATAGTCTATCTCTTCCTTGGGTGTATATTTACGATGCCAAATATGATTAGATTTTATAAAATAATGATCAATATATGAACCCTATTTTATTGAGTTTAGTCCAATTTTTTTGTTTAATGCGGTCAAATTAAGGTGTTGGAATTGAAATAATCACAATAATTTATCTGATACTTTCATTGAATTTTTGTGTCAGATGTTTGCATTATGAGTTTTATATTGAACAGTGAAAAATCTAAAAAGGCATTGATTTATGTACCTTTAAAAAAATATTATTTGTTTTGGGGCAAGTAAATAGAGATTGAAACTTTTTCAGCCTTTGATCCCCACCCTCAAAAAAAGAAATTAAAATCACAATGTTATTGAGCTTCCTTTAGCTATTTGTAATGTCAAGATTAATGAGATTAGAGATCTAATCAGATGCATGAACATAATAGAGAGATAGAGTTTAACTCCTTTTCTAATTTTGGTGCCAAACAAAATATTCGTAATGAAATTGTCCACGTGCAAAGTACGTGTATACCAACTAGTTTAAAAAATAGAACTTTAATCAATCATGTTACAATCACCGTTAAAGTACTACATCAACATAACAATTCATACATCTATGAAAATATTACATTTGACACAATGTAATGTACTCTTTTTTGAATTCAACCCTTAATATATCTCCTCCTCTTTTCTGGTCACGTGTTCATGTCTGAAGGCACTATTTCACAAAAAAAAAAACGATTAGAAAAAATGACAATCCATTGGAACAAAAGTTGAACGTTCATTTGAGGCTTATATTATGAACAATATCCAAATCTCACTATTGTATGTATTATATTTCTAATTTTTTATTTTTTAAAATTTAGAAATAATGTCTCTGCTCCCAAAATGTAGAGAGATTTGTGAGGCCAGATCCA